AGACAAAATCAAATTCCATCGTCAAGCCAAGGGACATGTAAAACAAGGTGCCTCAGAGAGGTGCACAGTTGTCACAGCTTCCAAGATCAGAAACAACATAACTGCACATAACTAGGAACTGATTACACAGATTAGGTCAAATCCATAAAATGTAACACATTTGCAGCAATTAAAATGGATGAGCATTGTGTCTGCTGATATGAAACAATATCTACTATAAATTTGCTACATGAAAAGAGGCTCTCCATACATACACATTCTTAAATATACTTCTGTATCTACAACATTTTTTTAAAAACAAGGTGTATGAGGGAGAGAAATGAAGAGCTGTTTATGGGAACAAAATTTCGATCTTGCAAGATGGAAAATTTCTAGAGGTCTGTTACACCATAATGTCAATGTAGGTAACATTACCAAATGATACATTTAAAACTGTGTTAAGTGGGTAAATTTCATATATTTCAAATTATAATTTCTAAAATTTTTAAAGTAAAAATCAAAATGTACCATAGTATGTCTATTTTGTTACCATTTTATGAAACATGTTTATGTATAATCCAAGTGCCTGCACATAATTATTACTGGTTAAGCACCAGTAAAGTTGGTTTCCTCCAGGAAGGGGATCTGGAAGGCAACACAGAAGTGGGAAGGAGACACTCTTGCACTGGAAATCGTTCTGCAACTTTTGAATTCTGTGCTGTGTGTATGCTAACTTTTCAAGCAAATAATCAAATCTGGATATCAACTAGCTGGGGGCTTTAGTTTATACTCCTATCTGATACAAAGCTCAAACATCATGCCCCAAGTAAGTTTTAATTACTCTAATTAGAATCAATACATCCCCTGAATGGGAGAGAGAAAGCAATCTTAAGACATAGACAAGAAATAATAAAGTCATCAAAAGCAGATTGTAAGTGATCTAAAAGTCATTCAATAACACATTACTTATTTTATTGTGCCTGCCTCAAGGGGCTGAGATCAAATTATTTAATACCTTAATGTTCCCAGTACACATTTAGCACCGTGTTAGTGATTACTATTTCAGATTTAATTTTTTTTTACTTTTCTTTCATTTAAAGCACATGAAGAATAGCTGTGGGTTCCAATATTTAGGTTACAATATATCTCCTCATGGCACCTCCTATCAACCTGAAAAACAGCCCTAATAACTACCTACCTCACAATTGTCTGTGGGATTAAATAAGTGAGTCAATTCATGCAAATACTTGGTGGGGAGAGGGCTGGGCCCTTAGCAAGGGCTGAATATATCAACAATCAACTGTAATATCAACAATATATCTCAGACCAGAAGAAATTGAATGTATTAACTCCAGAGACCTAGAGTCTTCTCTTACCTTGAAGAGGAATCCAAACACCTTAATAAGTTAATTTTATAAACATAACATTTAAACTGATTAGAGGGGGGAATAGGATGAAGAGAGGAAGGCTAGAAAGGTATGTAAAGTGGGAGCATAGTTATGCAATGTTTCCTTCCTGACTGGTTTAAAAAAAAAAGTGAGCCTTTAGAAGACATTCCAACAAGAAGTAGATTAACCCTGGCTCTGGATTCTTCCTGGGTTTAATTTCAGTGTCAGGTGATGTTCCAAATAAATCCCAGATGAATGAAAAATATACATAAACATCAAAGGAAAGTAGGTCTACTTACATAAAAATTTACAATTATAGATGTTCAAAATTATAACCTACAAAAAATCAAGTGAGAAAAAAGTATCTGCTTATGACAAAAACTTCTTATCTGTTATATGAAAGAGTTCACACCATAAACAGATTATGGCCATACATATAACAGAATATTATTCAGCCCTAATAAAGGAAGGAAATTCTGACACAAGCTACAATGTGGCTGAACCCTGAAGACCTTATACCAAGTGAAATAAACCAGTCATGAAAGGACTAATACTGGGTGATTCCACTTATATGAGGACACAGAATAGTTACAGTCATAGAGACAGAGGGGGGATGGTGGGGGCTAGGGCTGGGGGAGGGGGGAAGAGAGTTATTCTTTAATGGGGGCAGAGTTTCAATTTGGAAGATGAAGAAGTTCCTGAGATGGATGGTGGTGATGGTTACACAACAATGTCAATGTACTCAACTCACCAAACTGTACATTCAGAAATGGTTAAAATGGTAAATTTTATGTTATGTGCATTTTATCACAAAAGAAAAATTTAAATAAAAAAAGTTCAAAGAAATCATAGCAACAATAAAAGCAATAAAACACTGATATGTACAAAACCCAGGACATGAATAGGCAATTCACAAAGGAGAAAATACAATTAATAAATACATGAAAAAATGTTTAAGATCAAAGTTTCTCAAACTGCAAATTAGAAAGTCAAGTAATCAAAAATGATGTTAATCAATCCTAAGAGTTCAAATAATGTGGCTTCTTGTACATTGAAGATTTCAGTGTGAAATATTATACCAGAGATTCAAAATTATTAACACATCTGGACCTCCAAATTATATACATATATATATAATTTTTATATTCTTAATATAAAAATGCTCTAAATATAGAAAAAAATGTGCAAAGATTACTTTATGTTATGTCTTAGAAAACCAAGAAACTGGAAACAAAAGTAAACATCTAAAAATTGTGGGGCTACTAAACAGATAGGAAACAACCATTGGATACATGATTGTATGACCATTAAAATGAGGATTATGAAAACCGTGCAAGAAAATGGGCGAAAGGGATGGAGGACACAATATTGAATGCAAAATCATATAAAAACATGAGTGAAAAGATTATGTAGAGCTATACTAAATGTTAATATTTATGATAATGGGATAGGAGTGTGAAAAGTCCCACAAGAATCTTCCAAATTTTCTAAATCGCACTTATAGTTCTATTATAAGAAAAAAAAAATTCTTTACAGGAGTTGTGAAACCCTGAGTTACAGCCTGTGAGTGAAGGCCACGGAAACTCCCAATACAACTTCCTGGCTTATTTCTCCACAGGCGGAGAAGATAACAGAAGAAAGACTTCAGCCCAGGGCAGAAGCCGCAGCACATGCTGGTGTGGCTTTTCCCTAGCCTGTTGGCTCTGTAACTTGGAAAACACTTTCCATATCCAACCACAGTTGTGAAGACAGCTGAATTCTTGTTCTGTCACTGTCTTCATACCTGTAGTCACATCATTATGGCAGTCACTGCAGTTTCCCTACCCAGTATCTATTCTGCCTTCTGCCTTAATGACAGACCACTGATCAATCACAGGCCCAGAAAACAGCATTTCCCAGACTTCCTGGTGGAAACGGATGGCTAAGTAAATTCTAGCCAATAAGAAGCAAAAGTTGTTGGAAGTGTCTTCTGGGAAAGCTCCTTACAAGTTTGAAGGTAGACTCATGTAGTAGGCCCACTTCTGCTCTTAACCCCTTCTTTCCTGGAATATGGAGGTGATGACTGGAGCTGCAGCAGCTAACTTGTTATCTAAGGCAATCTTAGAATGGAAGCTGTATGCTAAATATACTACAGCACACAGATCCCTAGTGACACCAGGAAACTGACATACCAGCACTGCCCTCCCTACTACAAATGTCTTTAAGAAAAATAAAACCTTAAACTTGCTTAAATCACTGATTTTTACACTTTAGTACTTGCTGCGAAAGAATTCACCATCTTTGAAGAATTCACATTAAAACCCATTAACAGAATGTTTACAATAAAATTAGGTTCTCCTGGTTCCTGAATCAAATTCAGCATTATTAAAGGCACATACTTCTGGGTTCTCAGAACCATAATCATAAATCTATGTTTTCCTCAATCCTCATTTTCTCCTATGTTTACCACCAGTAATTGCTCCTTTAGAGGACTAAATTAAATAAAACCTTCCAAAAACCATTATTTATATATAACAAAATCTATATTGGAAATATCAAGTTTTTCATATTTTTTAAAAAACTGAAGAACATGATTAAAACTTCACATGAATGCAAGTTACATAAGCATTTTTATTCATAATGATGGTAAAATATCATCAAGTATTAATTCAAAAATGAATAATTAGTCAATACTATAAAAATCAATCCATATTTCTGGATAAAGAAAGCAAGCTGAACACATGCATCTAATATTGCTCCAGTCCCAAACTTCTCCATAACTGTAGTAAAGAAACATTTTTAAAAACATAAATCCTCAAGGAAGGGCAAGTAGGAGAAGAGATGACAATATTCTGAAAATATGAAGAACATGGGCCAGCAGTAACAGCCTCAGCAGTGCCAAGGAAGTCCAACTCGTCACCAGCCAGTGCTAGTGTACAGGACAGAGCAGGTCTGAGCCACCCTCATGAACCAGGAAGGGAGTTACTGTGATAAGCCAGGACAAACCACATGTCATGGTAAATTGTGTGTGTCAGCTTGACTGGGCTAAGGGATACCCAGAGAGCTGGTAAACCATTCTTTCTGGGGTGTGTCTGAGAGGGTGTCTCTGGAAGAGTTTAGCATGCAGTAGACTGAGTAAGGAGACCTGCCCTTGCCAATGTGGGTGGGCAGCACACAGGCTACTGAGGACTTGATGGGAACAAAAGGATAAAGGAAAGGTGATCCTCCATCCCTGAGCTGGGACACCCATCTTTCCTGCTCTCGGGTGGATGGCAGAGCTCCTGGTTCCCAGCATCCTTGGGCAGCAATGCTGCTTGCTCTTCCGCCCCTGATTCATATTCAAAAAGTTTGCAAATCTCCTCTACAGCTATAATTCAATTTCTCCTCCAGAGCACTGCAGTTCTTTAAAATATATGATTCTGTTTTGAACTCTGGGCAATTCAGTATTAGAGAAAAGAGCGTGGTTCCCATTCGCTATCTGCTTAGTCCACGTGACCAACATGAGTTGAGTCTCTGAAACTTCTTGAAAAACATGAGCTGTACTGAGCTCATTCCCACCATGGATGTGCAGACGTCTGTCATGGCAGTCAGAAGGGACAATTTCATAAGCTACTGAGGGAACTTTAATTTAAAACTTTTAGACTCTTTCACACCAAGAAGCCATTAGCTGATGTAGGAGTTCAGTAAAAGTCTTCAATGAATTTCTGGACATGGCCACAAATCCCTGTACCTGCTTCACTCCCCTTTAATTATCCCATTAACTCATGACAAATGACATAAGCCTGAGAGACACCTACCCTTGTCATAACTTCCTCTGTCACATTATGCAGCAAACCCAACTGGTAACTTCAAAGTACAATACACGTAGAACAATATTTTCTTATGTTTAATGTAATAAAATTGATTATTTTTGAACATTCACTTCAGATACTCATTTTTGGCAAAGACTTAAGCTTTTCCATATTCATACCAAACACCTCCAATTCCTTCCCAGCAATTGGTTTTATTGTATTGCAGTGTATATGCCAGCTAGAGCAGAAAAATTCCTGGTAGGAAAAATTTCCTGTGGGCTGTGTCCTGGTGGTTGCATTTGCTCCATGGGCCTAAGACTCAGACTCCCTCTGAGTAGAGTGGGATGGGGCATGCAGAGAGAGACAGCTGGGCCCCAGGACCAAGCCTGGAGTCCTACCCACAGCTAGTTATGTGATGTACGAGAGAAGGGAACATGCCAAGCATGGCAGGTGGGAGTCTGTAATTTTTTGGGCTGTAAAGACAAAGCCACTCAGACATATTCTCAGTTTCCTGGCTCCATGTATTTTACATAAACCATCATAGATACACAGGAGAGAAAATACACAGTGGCCTGTAAAACACAGTACATGGACATGGCAATACCTAGTTGTGAAGATACAGCCAGGAAAAAGCTTAGAGCACTTTCAAGGACTTGATTTAATAGACACAAAATATATAGATTCCACTAACTACCATAACAGCCTTGTTATTAACATATTTAAAGCCAGATAATTCTAAAGAATATTCCATATTTAACATTAGAAAGAATTATATAATTGAATCAGGGACCATTTGACAATGCACTAGCATGGAAAAATCCAAAGCTAAATTATGTATGTTTTAATGTGCAGCTTACGTTACATGCAATTGCTATCCTTAAAGTAAGTGTTTTATACGTGTAACTAATTTTAACTTAAAAAGAACATAGAACAATGAAAACAGACTCCACAACCAAGAGACACTTCTCTTCATTTCTCTGTATTGTTTCATTTCATCTGAAAAAGGTCAATTACATCTAGATTATCAGGGCCCATAACTCAACTCAGTGTTAGTGTGAGATTTAACCTTGGCAAAATAGCACCTTGATTCAGCTCCCTCTGCTGTAAGAAGCAAAGGTCAGAGCCATCCAGTTATTTCAGTAGGACACCTAACTACACAGGTGGTTTCCTACCCAAACCCATTCCTCCCTCCTCGTTCCTTGCTGCTGGAGGCTGGTTTAGGTACTTACCTCCTGGGGCCAGGTGATGAGATGTGGTCCACTCACCAGCAACAGGAGAGAATCTTGACTCATCAAAATGAACTGAAGTAATTTCATTCCCCTCTAGGGCCCACACTGGGCATGGAGAGACAAGGCAAATCTGCTAGGAAGGTTTCTGAGGAAGGGAGCCTTAATTCTAAAACTCTGAAAGTAAATACACCAAGAGTCAGTACAGGAACTCGGGCAGCCACTCTGGGGTCTGAGGGGAACCAGCACAAGAGGCCAAACAGGTGAATTAGGCTGGGTTCTCACCTCCACCTCTGAGCTGCTCAAGTAACCAGCCCTGAGTGGCCTGACTCTGTCATCCTGTTTTGTGGGATAATTAGCCCTCTTCAGTTTTGGACATTTTTGTTGAGCCTTCTGTTATTTGCCCAAAAAGCACTCCAACCCATACAAAGAGCTTTAGTGGGAATTAAAAACTCCCCAGGGAAGAATATCCTGGGTTTAAAATCTAAGCAACCCAGAATCCACAGGGCCCTTCTCTCAGTCCCAGTTACTCACCATCAAAAATTGATGGCCCTCAGGTTCAGCTCAGGGAAAATTAAAAATCACTTGTTCCATGAAACTCTCCATTATATCCCAGTCTTCAATTATTCCATGTCTTATTGGCCACTAAAGCAAGAGAAATCAAACTATGTCAAGCTTCAGTTCATGTCAGTAAGAGCAACAGTTTTAAAAGCACTGGCCCAGAAGAGACTGAGTTATTAGAGAAAACAGGTCTTTTGCACTGGGTGAATGTTAATTTATGTAAAGAAATAACAGGCACTTTACCAGAAATATTAAGTTATATTATCGTTTATATTCTACTTCACATTTCTAAGTACAAAGTGTCATTTTAACAGTGGAGTAACAGATGGAAAATTACAGCTAATCCTCCATACCATTCCATTTGGAGTTTGGAGGTTTTTAGAACAAATACATAGTTAAACAATTTTAGTGCTTCTTTTTAATTAATCAATCTATAGCTCTTCTACATCTGACAGGTCAGTGAGTCAATCTGCAATTTTCCACAGAAGCAGGTCTTGCTCTCACATGAAGCCCAGCATTCCCAGAGTCAATCCTGCATTCCGGGGTTTCATAAATTCACTTGATTCCCCAGATGAAAAATGCCTTGTTCAACTAACACAACACTGTAAATCAACTATACTTCAATTTTGAAAAATACCCCATTCAAAACCAACAACAACAAAACCTCTTTCCCAACACAAGAATAAAATACACAGCTCACATGTACAATTGCTATGAAATCTACCATTTTACATGATTCATCCTACTGCTCTGTTCTTGGTGATACACTTACTGAAGCAAATCCCAGTGGGGAGTTTACCTTTATGGCATATGTGGGTTTATCTATGGCTTCATCCCCTATGAAAAACTCCAGGTCATAAACTCCCCTCAGCACCCTCCTTTGGGCTTGGTCAACAGCCTTTGCTGACTCTCTGATGGCAATACCTTAGGGAGAACAGCACAAATATTTCTGTCAGCATCCATACTCATTTCAAGGATCAAGGAAGTATAATATAACCCCTGTGTATGTACAAGTAAATTTTCAATGTCAGGGTCTTATTTGGAGATGAATGTGTTCACAGAAAAGACGCTATCACAGAGCACATAAAGTAATACAAAAACCTTTCTTATGTTCTGGTATTATTTTCAGTGTGGCACAGAGGAACTTAGCTGGTCTGCTTTTAATATTGACAAAAGATGAATTACTAAATTTTTCAGTTTCATCTGAAAAAACATCCCTCATGATAGTGAAATGAAAAGCACATATCAATAGGTTCCAAATTTTAGAATACAATGTAGAAGGACACAAAATTAAAAATATAATATGAAAGAAGAAAGTAAACTGATAAATGCTCATACACTCTCATTTTAATAAAACTGTGTCACACAGATTTAAAATATATTTTTATTCTTCTTACAAAATCACTAAAAGAAAAACCTAAAAGGTTGCTGACTAATATCTGGCAAGAAAAATTCAATAATCAAACAACTGTATTATGTAAAAATATTAATGGCTTTATGATATATTATTTTAATAACAGTTTAACCACT